TTCCAAAGTTAGGGGCTGTAGCACCCCCAGAATCTGCGCCACCACCTCCCTATCCGCCACACAAGTATTCTTACTATAACATATGCTGGATTTGTGATAGTTTACCACTTGCCGTGATAATTTCTCATATACAGATAAGCAGTTTTTAACTGCCCCGGCTTCATTTGCATTCGCCTTAAAAAATAATAAACTGTCATCAACAAAAAATAAATGAGAGAGGGGGGTGCACCTCTCGCCACTATACAACCATGGATAGAACCATTATCTTGTGCCTGCTGTAATAACACCAAGAGTCCTTGCACACATAATAAATAAATAAATAAAGAGACAAGGGATCCCCTTGCCTTAAACCTCTGGTAGGCACGAGTTGAGCACTGCGCGCCCCATTAACCAAAAAGTTGTAGGACACCGAAGTAACACACAACATAATCAGCTCCACCCACCTACTATCAAATCCAAGGGCTAGCATCATACCTGGGAGAAAAGACCACTCCATGCGGTCATAGGCCTTGGCCATATCCAATTTTAGAGCGCCCCAGCCAACAGCCCCACACTGTTTCCTGTTTAGGTAATGACCCACCTCCGATGCTAGTAGAATATTATCAGTGATTAGTCTATCAGTATCAGGTATAAAAGCACTTTGAGAAACTGAGATTACACCATCCATTAGTGGCTTCATTCTATTCGCAATCATCTTAACCATGACCCTATACACCACATTGCTTAGCCACCCTATATATATATATATATATATCACATCCTCTTCACTCTTTTGCTTCATCACAAAACTGTGTTGGTCAAAGCACAATTGCTCATATCTATATCACATCCTCTTCACTCTTTTGATTCATCACAAAACTGTGTTGGTCAAAGCACAATTGCTCATATCTATTATACAGAAATCGTATATGGACTCTTTGAAAATAAATCTGATCTCCAGCCAGGTTTCTTGATTTTATTAACAAAGAAGAAAGAGAGTAATAATTAAAATTGTAATCCACTTTTTTTAATGGTGCACATTAATTAATTATATGGTGGACCAGATGAATCACTGATACATATTCATCCTTAATATGCTAGCTAGATGTTTATTTTTAATATATTACATATTAATTTTTAGGTAATACATTAAAAATGAATTTGTAATACAATAAAAACATGTATCATAATATAACCAACTTAATAAAATGAACTTATATTATATTAAAAATAAAAATATATTTCAATCCACCTTATAGAAGTGTATAACAATTGATTAAGTAGGGAAAAAATGGTGGTATGTATAACTATTACTCATAATATATCTAACTAATCAACTTATCAACAAAAAAAAAAAAAAAAAAAAAAAAAAAAAAAAAAAAAAAAAACTAATCAACTTATAGTCGTATTAGTTAATGCAGGCTATATCCATATTTTGTCAGTATTTCTTGTACTTGTAAAGTTGAACATTATATTCAAAAAGGTGTATTTTAAACTTGTTAGACCAAAATTACCCTTACAATGTTAAATATAATATTAGTGAAGTATTAAATACTAAATCAATTTGCCAAGCACATTGTGCTCAAATGGCATATAGTGACTTTCCTATATGAGAGGTCATGAACAGATACTACAATGTAATAGAGCCAGTAACTTTCAAAAAATATGAGAGGTCATGAGATCGAGCCTCAGTGGAGGCGGTGGTGACTCTTTGTGCACGAATACTAAAACATAATAGAGTGAGTAGCTTTCAAAAATCTTCTTAATACTTCAAAGCGCGGGGTGTCTTGTAACAATGGTACAGTCGTGCTAACACCGAAGCAATTACAAATTATTATCTTTATTAAATACGCACATAAGCACTATTTTTAAAATCATGAATTGTATCTTTATTAAATACGCGCATAAGCACTATTGTTAAGATAAATGTTCGAAATCTTCTTAATACTTCAAAGTGCGGGGTGTCTTGCAACAATAGTACAGTCGTGCTAACACCGAAGCAATTAAAAATAGATTTTAAAATCATGAATTGTATCTTTAATAAATACGCGCATAAGTACTATTGTTAAAATAAACGTTCGATGAGGATATGAATAATAAGAGTACGTGGGGGAGGAGGTATAAAAATGAACCCAAACTCAAGTCTAGAAGTAACAAACGTGCTAGGACTGAAAAATTCTTTGGTTTATATTTTATAACATACTGTTAGAGCATGAGTTTAATACTCTGACTTATTTATTAAAATATAAACATGATTTTTTAACTTAGCTTGTTTGTTAAAGACGAGTATCAGAGTTATTATGTAGAACATGTAACTTCAATTGAAGGATCAATGTGAAACGAGACAATTAAAAGTGAAGATTTTATTATACAAAAGCACACTTAGCTTGAAACCTGGTTGATCTTCCTCCGCGTAGTAAATACTTAAGATCTAAATGACGAGTCATTGGACAAAACATGAAACCAGATAGCCAGTTCTATTGAAAAATACAAGACAAGATTGTAATTAAAAACTACAAAAGTAATGTAAAAAATCTACAATTACTTCGATACTTATTCTTCTGTGGTAAGAAATTAAGAATATATTTTATTAGAGTGATACTTGACATCACAATGTTATGAAACCTAAAAGTTCATTAAATGGAGGTGAAAACAATATTTTTGAACGGAGATTTCCACTTGGCAATTGAATGGAGTGTCTAGAGGGAATTTGAACGAAGAATTGGACATGTGATACTAGTATGGTACAATACTAAAATTATGAATGAACCGTGAAAAGCTTATTAATTTTTATTTTATTTTATTCCATCCACAGTTGGATATTGACAATTGGCTTATATTGGACTCACATATGACTATCATCACGGGTTAATCATTAATTTTGTAAGTTTAGTTTAACTAATGAAAGTTAATTCAAAAAAAGTCCTCATCATGCAACATATTTCTCTCTCTCTCTCTCTCTCTCTCTCTATATATATATATATATATATATATATATATATATATATATATATAGAGGTGACATTTTGTAAGCGAAATTAAAAGTTAATTTAATGGCATTTTAAAATTAAAATTCTTTTTAAATATTAAAAAATTGCTATATGTTAATGAGAAAGTTGTAATGTAACATATTTTGGCATGTTAGTATATATTAATGTCAGCGTCATGTAAATCTAATAGCATTAAATTTTAAAAATAATTTGTTTTCAAAAAAAAAATAGTAATTTTATCAATTTTATGTACATAAATTAATTAAATTAAACATATATTAGCACCGACAGAACCACAATGGGGTTAGTTTCGTAAGCTAACCCCATTGGCTCAGTTAATTTTTTATATTAATTATATTTTTGGTCTAATTTCTTAAATAATGAATTAATTGTACTTTTGATATGATATCTAAAATAATAGATATAAATAGTCAAATTAGTCTATCAATTATAGTGATAAATCAATATTATTTTGATTTACGGAAAAGTCCACAATTGCTACATGAAACAAATCAGTCTAAGTTGTTCATAATTAACCGGCTCAAATCAAGAAAACTAATAATTAACTTATACGAGAAGTTGAACTTTAAACCTTGTAGTTACCAAGCTAATTGTCGGACCAACTTAATTAGTTGGAGTTGCACATAAATCAATGGTACTTCTAATTATGCTATAAGGCTGGCCTTATCCCAGTCAATGTTGGACTTGCAAGATGATGTAGTGAAAAAAAAAAACTGTGTTTACTTTTTTTTTTTATTAGTTATTTTATTATTATATTTATAATATAATATGAAAGTGAGACGTACAATTTTTGAAAGTGAGATAATATTGTAGAGACTAGAGATGTAGAAAAAATAGTCAAGAAATTGTAAATTTGATGATATGGAAATGAGATTCATTTTTAAAAGTGAGCGAGTATTGTAGTGATAAGGATAGCCTAATGTGAGTACTTATTTTAGTCTTTCATGTCATGAAAATTATTATTTTGTGTTAAATTTACAATTATAAACCACCTATATATACCAAGTAGCCATCCTTTGCTTAAAAAAATTTATCATGGAAGGATTTTATATCATATTAAATGTCATATTTTGTAAGTGACTTTGATATTGTATCAAATGAGAATATGTTACAAAATTTCAAACTAACGTAAAAGAATATTATTTCACACCAATGAATATTTTGTTTTGATTATAATACAAAACATATTCTAATCTATTGTATAATCTATTGTATATTTTGTTTTGATTATAATACAAAACATATTCTAATCTATTGTATAATCTATTGTATAATTACACTATTTCATAATTTATAATAAAGGCAAAAATTTATTTGATAACTTCTCACAGATCCTTATAAGGAATAAAAATGAAATATTAATCAGGAATAAAATATTTATTACATATAATGAAATGTGTAATACTTTTGAAAAAAATATAATACTTTTTACGTTTTGATTTAAAAGTATTAAAATTTTCCTTATAAGTATTACATTTTCTTTTATAAGTAAAAAATACTTGTCAACATTACTTATAAGAGAAAGTGTAAAAAATGTAATACTTTTACATCAAAATGCAAAACTATTACATTTTTCTTGAAAAGTATTACACTTTTCCTTATAAGTAACACACATTTTATTCTTTATTAGTATTATATTTTTCAGTATAAGTATTACATTTCTATATCAATCCGACCCAACATGAGTGTGAACTTATATATTTGCTTTAATTGTTGGGTCTATTCACTTTATTTTCTCAAATTATTATGTGAACCTGGGTTCAAATGTTGAGAATTTACATACTAAATGTTACAATTTATTTTTTAAAAATTCAAAATTTGTATACTACGAACACACAATGTTATGTAAGAAAAAAATAATTTAGGAAGTACATGTAATAGAGCTCTTTGAAAAAAAATTATTTAAATAACATTTCATTTTAAAGAAAAAAAAATACTCTTATACTACGTAGTGAGGTAGTTAGCCGTTGGTAATAAATGACCGCCTTATAATTTGGGTATCTTCTATATCTTTCTTTTACATCACCCTGCTTCTCTACTCTCTGCGAGCTAAACATGGAGATATCCTACTTCTTTCCAATACTACCCTTCACTTCATTCCTAATTTACACAGTTTTACTCCTCACCAATCTTCCTTTCAGTTCAGGCGGCCATGGAAATTGGTTCGACAGCTGCGCAAATACCTTCAGTTGCGGAAACATAACCGGGGTCGGTTACCCTTTCTCCGGGAATGACAGGCCAAGAGAGTGCGGCTTTCCGGGCTTGGAGCTTGACTGCAATAAGTTCGATGACTCTGCTACGATTTCGATCATGAAAGTGAGATATCGTGTCTTGGGGATTAACCAAACCGCGAATATTCTCACGATCACGAGAGAAGATTTTGCGGCAGGGATTTGTCAAGGGCAGTTGTTTAATGTGAATTTGGACTCCACGCTTTTCGATTTTGCCTCTCGGTATGTGAACTTCACGTACAAGTTCAATTGCCCACCAAGTGTTCGACCTTTGCCCGGACTGGAATCTATGCCGCCGGTTCCCGAGGGGTTCGATTGTCTCGTGAGTGGGTTTAATTTGGGGAATGGTTATGTTCAGTTTGGAGGTCGTCCCGCTGGCGCAGGGACTTGCGAGGCTAGCGTGGTTATCCCGGTTCGGAATTCGACGGTGGTGGCCGGAGAAGATGGAAGCGACTTTTTGGAGATGAAGGAAATTCTGGAGGAGGGGTTTGATGTGAAGTGGAAGGTGGACGGTGAATTGTGCCGGGAGTGCGAGAACTCAGGCGGACGGTGTGGGTTTGATTATCTGAAAGGTAACCGGTTTGCTTGTTGGTGCCCGGAACAGTCCTTGCCGTCGATCAATACATGCATGACGACAAGCACCGGCGGTAGCACCAGTCTGCAACTATCCCCGGCGACATCAGGTATGAGACAATACCTTCTTCGTTGGATTAAAGTATGATTTTCATTTATGATTATAAATGTTTAATTTTCTTAAGATTATAAATGGTTTTTGTTCGATCAGGTTGGCATACTATGCATAGGTTAGATTGTAGTATTAAAAAAAATGATTATTGTTCATATTTGATTGTTAATTTATTCAAAAATTATTAGTAGGGTATAAATTAAAACAATTCATTTTTAATTTATTAGGAATTGAAGTACAAGGCAAGTATATAAGGTCATTTGCTGAGGTTAATATCATTAGTACAAGTAAAAGCTACATTGTATTCTTTCTAAGAAATGGTAGAGTGCATTAGAGATAGGATATGGATTCAACCAATTAAATTTTGATATTTAAGAAAAAGAAAGAGATTCATTATATTGGTTGAAAGATTATTAGTAGAGTAACTTTTTTTTTTTTTTTTTTTTTTGAATGTTAGTAGAGTAACTTCAAATCACGTACTTTTCTTCTCTAAGTAAAATTTGCCTCGTAAATTTTAATGACAAAGAATTACAAGGTAGTAAATCAGTTAAGTTGTTTAGAGCTAACTAACTCAAACAAAGAATGTTGATAGACGGTTCACATGAAAAATTAAATTAAAAACCTTTATTTAGCTAATTATTCCCGACCAACTTGGTTAGAGTGAATAATACAAACCCCTATTACTTAAGACCAAAGGCTAAATAACATCAGACAATGACATTAAAAACATCCAAATCAACCCAAAAAGAGATGACCGAGTGAGTAAGATGTGATTTTCGTTTATGAAAATCACGAGTTTAGTTCCTGCCAATACATTCTCGGTTAGACCCGTTATGTTGCATAGAGATTTCAATTCTTGCAAATATAATTAGTATTTTTCATTATGACTGTGATAAGTCCTAAACAATCTAGGTTTGCAATTAATGTTGTAAAGGAAATGATTCACCCAATGTCTCTATCGTGATTGGGTTGTAATTTCAGGCTTTCAGCTGACGACTCCATAACCCATCAAATATCATCTTTCAATTCAATTCAATTAAGTATGTCACTTTTAAATTATGATAAAAATTAATTGCCAATGACCTAGTATTAAAAAAAAATGATAAAACTTAATCTAGACAGTTGCATATCAACTTACGATAATTAATGAGTCATAAGTATGATTCGAGAGGGGTTAACAGGGCGTTTGGTTGGAGGGGGGAATTATGTGGGAAAAGAATGTAATTCCATGGAAGTTGAATTACTGGGAATAAAGTGAGAATTTAAATTCCAGTGTTTGGTTGACAGGAATAGAATTACTGGGAATTTTAATTCCAATGTTTGGTATACATGGGAATTGAAAGGGAATAAGTAGTATAAAGTCAAAAATGTCCATTATTGTTGTTAGACATTAATTTTAGGTTAAAAAAGGAAGGGGTAATTTTGACTCATCACTATCTTTTTTTCCCAGGAATTAAAATACCGGGGGGGGACATGGGATTTTAATTCCATGAAAATTGGGAAATTGCAATTCCATGGAATTGCAATTCCCTCCAACCAAACTACGGAATTTAATGGCCTTTGGAATTAGGTGGGAATTAAGTAGGAAGGGAATTTAAAATCCCTCCAACCAAACGCCCTGTAAAGGTTGCATCAATTCCAACCCCAATTATTATTATTTTTAAAGATCACAATAAATGTGGTATGGTATGTATTGATTTTTTTAGTGACGTTTTGACTTAACATTTTTAAGAAAGGAAAATTACACTTTTTACCCCTGAGTTATATACTTATAGCACATTTTCTCCCTGAGTTATTCATATAAGCACATTAGCTCCCTTAATTATTTTAAAAGTGGCGATTTCCCCCCTGATATATTAAATTGACATTTCTACCTTTAAAATAAACATTTTATTTATTTTTCTTCTCCAAAAAATTATTACGTATACGTAGGGATGATCACGGTTCGATTCGAATTTAACCGGACACTATAGCAATCGAATTTAAAGTTTCCGGTTATGATTCAGATATAGAACCCAATATTTGGATTTCAGTTTATTAAAATTATGAATCAAAAAAATATGGATCCTGAACCGCGTCGGTTCCAGATCCGATTCACGATTTTGAATCGTCTTTATTTTAATTTTTATTTATTTTAAAATAGTCTAAATTCAACATTAAATGTATTTTAGTTTTTTTTTTTTTTTTTTTTTCAGTTCCGAACATGAACCAGCCGTCCCGGTTCGCGATTTTAATAAACTCTAAATATCGAATTTCGATTTTAAATTGTAATTAGAATATTTCGATTTGGTTGCTATAGTGTCTGTTTGATTTGAACCAAATTGTGGTCATAATTTGTTGGAGAAGAAAAATAAATGAAATATATTTATTTTAAGGGTAAATATGTCCATTTAACATTTTAGGGAGAAAAACATCCACTTAAATAATTCAGGGAGAAAAGTGTTATAAGTATATAACTCAGGGGAAAAAAGTGTCATTTTCCCTTTTAAGAATAATAAACTAGCTAATTAATAAAATTCAATTTAAAAAATAAACTAATAAAATAAGAATTTCCGAGTAATGAGGTTAAAGAATTAATTTTGAAAAAAACAATAATAAAAAGCAATAAATTGAGAATAAGGACTAAATATTATTGTATCAACATCAGTAAAGGAGATCGAATTAGATACAAATTTTAAAGACAAAACTTATATTTATATATAGGTTACTATAAGCCCGAATTGAATAAGAATTTACTTAAATATGTTGTATATCAATACTAATTCACAAGTTATTTGGGTCATAGCACATTATTCAAACTTTGCATCAACCCGTGTCACATTCACTTTGCTTTTTGCTTTTTCTATATTCTGAAGTTTCAGTCTTACAAATACACAGTACTCAATTGTTGATTCTCTGTCACTTGTTAAACCAGCCCAATTGTGCTTCAATACATTTATGCATGCCACAAGTCCACAACATCTCAATCTTTGCATGTAACTCTTCGTCTCTTCATATCTTCAATCTAGATCTCCAACATTTATCGTCCTATAAGTATTATTTAATTGGTCAATCAATAAAAATTCAGTTAATAATTTGGTTTTGTTAACAAGTCTTTGAGGCATGAGTGTTAGGGCCCTTAAGATTCATCAACTTATGATAAATCAACAAAGTTTGCTTCATTTTTTTAAGCTTCTCAATGCTATTTACTGGAATACCCTTTGCCCCAATACTTCATCTAAGACCACCACGGTAGCTTCGACATGCATTCACTACCACCCCTGAAAGCTGAAATGTACTTTTCAGTTTCAATAATTATATTATTATTATTATTATTAGTACTTTATTAATAAAATAAATAATTTTTTATAAGAGTTAATTTCACCCGAGGTCCTTTGTTTTTAGTTCCTGATTATTATTTTTGCCATTTAATACACTTACTAAAAATAGAAAAAGTCATGAGAATGACTAAAAGTGTCCAAAAAAAGTCTCTTCATATTTTTCTTTTGTTATTTTTTCAGTTTCAATCGGTTTATTTTTAATGTATTATATGTTAATTTTAGGTAGTATATATAAAAATGATTTTTTTTAAATGAACATGTAATATATTAAAATGAATATTCAATATATTAAAAATAAACATATATATATATATATATATATATATATATATATATATATATATATATATATATAGTGATTTACTTTACAATATGGGTTATGATCGACGATATAACGATTGAAGTAGTACCTTGTTGTTCCTCTCTTGTTTCTGAATCCCAACCGCGCTCATCTAGCAGCTAACAAACTTTCTTCCTAATGTAGTTTTGCTTATCTATGCAAGAATCCCTCACTTTAAAAAATGGACCTTATTAGCATATTATCATAATTGCACTTCAACATTATTTTTTATACATTACTACAATTTAACTAAAATTTAAAATATAGTATAATAATATTATTTAAAATTATTATAAAAGAAACAAAAGTCAACAAAACTGCCAAAATCATGTTTAAAATCCTTGCTAAACTTTTAATTGCTTTTTGGCAAAAAAAAAAAAAAACAACTGATGGGGCACCTACCACGGCAAATTGCCATTCCCATCCTTTTAGGGAGGCCCAGCCCAGGGCAAGGGCAGGCTGGGCCCTTGCCCAGGGCCCCATGCTTGTAAGGGCCCCTACCCTATATATACTATTACTTTAATATATACTACTCCGTATTAGAAATGTCATATAATTATTTAGTATACATTTTTGGTAATGGTTTCTGAGTTGGGTGACTTGGTAAGGCTTAACATTTAATTTACATGGTTGAGGGATTGAATCCCCATGTGTAATTTACTAATTTTACGTAAAAATTTCTCCCTCTACTATTTACTATATGAATTTAAGAATCTTACTACATTAAGATTTGAGTTGGTAGGACTTGTATTTTTTATGCTCATGATCAAAGGATCAAATCCCTACATAACATTTTACATAACATTTCCTTACAATTTATTTATTTCTATTTCTAATTTGTATTTTTCTAAATTTAATTTGTAACTTTGTGATTTTGTTACCTCTCTATAATTATAGTGAGATTTATAATATAAATTGATTTGTAATACATATCAAATTTTGGATCTATTTCTATTCGAGTAATTTACTACTTATATTTAGAATATTTGTTATTTTGTGAACTTTATAGTGAGTTATGTATATGTAATATATTTTGTGATTTAGTTATGAAAATATTTTAAAAGATAATTTAATTTTTGTATGAATTATCTAATCAATGTAGGTTAGAAGTTTTATTGTGCGTCGTCGTATTCAAATTAATCTAGAAAAACTTGAAAGTGATCTAACTAAAAAAGAGTATTTATAAATATGATATCAATATATAAGATGTGTAATTTATTACATGTTTTTTATTCGAACTATTTTATCCAATTAATTATGTTTCATATTTTATTATGAATATCTTTTATCCCGTTTGAGTGTTTTGATTTATTGTTCCCAATAATTAAGATTTTATGCTATGATCTTATTTGTAAGTTTTTTTTATATAAATTTTTATTAATAATTACTTTATTATTTATTATAATAATAATGTGATTGTCTATAAGCTCATTTGGTTTTAAATTATTTATTCATTTTTATAAACTATATTATTTATTTATGAAAATACTGATGCGGTGATTGATTATTGTGGATTTAGGAATGCATCTATAATTGTTTTCATGTGTATGTAAAATTATTAAAAACTTGTGATTCTTATTTAAGTTATTTGACATTAGTATTGCTTCCTTATTTAATTTAAATTTTAATTATAAAAGTATATATTAATTTTGTATAGGGTCCATTTTTTTAGTTATGCCCCGGGCCTAAAGAATGATATATAGGACCGGGTAAGGGATGGGTACTAATACAAGAACAACTTTCTGCGTTTGTTGTACAGTAGACGCATATTGGTAGAACAATTTGCGTCTGTTGTGAAATACATACAAATTGTTTGCACAATCACCGTTCGTTCTTGACTAGGTTTCAATCTCAAAGCATGCTCAAAAAAAAAATAAAAAAAAATAAAAAATAAAAAAATCTCTAGGCTTGTAATATCTTGTTACAAAGATAATGATTCTTTGATATATTTGTGTAGAAAACATGCGTACTATGGCTTATGCGCGCACACACAAATGTTCAGATGAAACTTCATTAGAATAAGAGTTAGGTTTAACTAATATAAAATGTTATGACAGTTATTATTGATTATTATTGCAAAGTCAATTTGAAAGTGTAAATTTTTATATAAATAATATTTTTTTAAAAGTTAGATACATGTCTGACTTGTCAAATTCAACAACAATCGAATTGAATAAAATTTAATTGGGTTCCTATTGTCTCCTGTCTGGTACAATTAAAGGTTCACATTTGTGTGATAGACCGTCTCACGGATCCTTATTCGCAAGTTTTTGTCATAATAAAAATATCATAATGATTTGTTTCTGTGTTTTCATTTCCCACCAAACACTCCAAAAGCAACCAATCCTGTGTTTGGACTGCATATGAAGGATGAAGAAGCAGTCAAGGTCACGTAGCCAACTAACCACCTACTATCGTAGATAAAAGACACCACTAATTATGGTTGTTGGATTCCTACGTTGAAGTTTGAACAAATCAACCATCCATTCCTCATGCAAGCAATCCTTTAACAGGATATTGTCCATTTGCCCACCTCTTTTCTTACAAGTAGAAACCGAAAATCCGGGACAATCTCAGTTCAAACTGTTGACTTAGTAACTATAAAGTTACAAGTTTGACTCTTAGTGAGAGCAACAACAGCCTATTGACCTTCTTGGTTTGATTTGAATTGACGGGTCTTTAAAAGAAAATTTGATTATGAATATAGTATTTTAGTTGATACGGAACACCACCTCATCGTCAAATTTATATTTTCTTCATCATATCAATCATGGAGTCATTCTTCTATAATAAACTCAGTATACCAAGTCAGAGTATAATGTGACTTTTATGGTTTTGCCCTTTTGCTGGTCCCTGACCCTTTTGTGCCAAGATAACAAATGGAACAACATAGTTCAAGGACTACTAGGAATCTGGGCAATTAAAATTCTAGCTGTCTTCCCTTCTGTCACTTTCTTGAAATGTGATTTGAGCCTTTCTTTAATTGGAAAAAAAATGATGAAAAGTCAGCAAGCAAAGTGATTTGCCACCTAACATCATCATCTTAATCTCCTCCACCATCTCATATCTAACCACTACCACTTCCACTATAGTTTCTCTAATCTCCTTCATTGTACATTTCCCCAAATGATGAATTCCCAAAGTCTTCCATGGCTCTCTTTTCTTCTCCCTCTCCTTCCCATCCTGCAATTCTTGATCCTAATGCCTCAGCTTCCCCGCGGCTCAAGCAATCCGGATTATTATCCAGATGAAGTTTATTATCAGAGCTGTGGAGATGTGTTCAGCTGTGGTGATATCCGTGATGTGGGATATCCTTTTCGCAGCGACAATGATCTTCCGTACTGTGGTTATCCTGGTTTTGAGCTGTCCTGCAATGGGGAGAACACAACCATTGATATCATGAACGAGACATATCGAGTCTTGGAAATCAATCAGGCTTCGAAAACAATGAAGATAGTCAGGGAAGATTTCATGGAAGGAAATTATTGCCCCCAAGAAGCTGTTAACACCAGTCTGGATAACTCGCTCTTTGAATATACTACCACCCACATAAACCTCACCTTTCTATATGGTTGCCATGAAGGAATTAATAATACTCCAGGGATAGGCACTATTCCTTGTGGGGATAGCAATGATGCTTATGTATTGCCAGCAGGAACTGGGGTTTCTGTAAATTGTAGCAGTAGCATGATAGTTCCAGTTCCAGTGCCAGTGGTTGGTGCTGGATATGGAGGGGTTATTGATTCGACGCTTTTAATGAAAACACTTAAAGAGGGGCAGGAGATTAGATGGAAGATGGATAGTAAAGCATGTGATGACTGCACTAAATCTAAGGGAAGGTGTGGACTTAGCCTGTTCACCAATCAAACTACTTGTTATTGTCCCAGCCCACCTTATGTATCTGAAACTTGTTCAGTTTCTATCCCAACAGCCTCTCCTGCACCTCCAGGTATATATGCTTAATGCTTCCCTTGAGATAATTTAGCGCAAACTAACATCATATTGTGGCCTGGTATGGAGTCTTAATTAGGACTAATATTAGAGTATAGATTATCGAATAATTTGGTTCTTTCTCGGTTAGTTTGATTGATATTCTATATATCCTGCAAGTCATGTTGGCATAGTTAGATGAATGTTTTATGATCAGTAGTTTATAAACTGTTAGAACTTGGAAGTATATAGTAATTCAGTGTTTCTGTAACAGAGAATGACCAAAAGAAAAGAATTTTAATTTAATTGGTGTTAGGTGCCAAACTAGCTAGTTTCGTCCTGCTATGAGGAGCTCATCAGACGAATGGCAATAGCTTCCGCCTTCCAACTATTTATGCCATTCAAATTGCCTGCTAGCGACAAGCTCCCTGTGCTTAACCGGGTCGGCACACCCTAACTCGGCTAGACCTTAGCTTTTAAGGCAAAACAACCCTTTAGGCTATTATCACCCCTTACTTTATAATAAGCTAGCTAGTTTACCTGTGCAAAACATGTGAGTTCTAGAACAGGAGTTACAGGAAAGGAGGACCAAAGACATGTGCTGTGAGTGGACTGGACTGGGGGGCTTAAAATTCCATGCGTCTCTACTATACGTACTTCTCCTATACTAGTTCGTTTATTCCGTGTGGGGAAAAGTAGCTGGAAACCCATTTCTATTCCTAATATTTTTTCCTTCTCCCAAAAAGTTAAATTTCCAATCCCAAGAACCCTTATACTTGACAAAATATCAAGGAGGATGTAAATCATGATACACACAAAAGATCAGAATCTGCTCACTTTAGACATAATTCTCATACTGTCATTGTCCAGATTCGAACCTAAATCTCTTCATTCAAATACTTTTTACTGAATCATTGAGTTAAACCCGTTCTAACTAGTCCTAATATGTGAATATGGAGTCAGACAGACCAAGTCAGCAGCCCCTTATTTCCATTAGAACCTTCTATTTCTATGCGTGGCGTGATATTTAATAGAGGCCCGCCAGACTTTTGTCAAATATCTACCGCCCTCCCTCCCGCATTCCTCCGTGTTGACACTTGACCCATGATGCCAAATAGTCCGGGGCTTCATTAAAACCATTACCCTTTCTTGTCTGCCACGTATCTCCTCCAAATCCTAGCTAATATATCAAACCGTTTTCCTCCAATCTCTCCTCCAAACACAAAAATGTGTCCAGCCACCTTCTTCCTCTTCATCATCCTGTTAATCCAGACGCCTCATCTAACTTTCTGTGATGAGTTCAATACCAGCAGTGTCTATGAGGCCTGCGCCCAGTCATTCAGTTGCGGCGATATTGATGATATAGGCTACCCTTTCTGGGGAGGGAGCCAGCCGGCCTACTGCGGCCACCCAAGTTTTGGGCTGACCTGCAGCGATGAGTCCTCCCCGGAGATTACTATCCTATCGGTGAAATACAAAGTTTTGAGTATCAGCAGCCAGGCGGCCACTATTGTGAGATATGATCTATCAACCAATATTTGTCCCTCCAACCCTCAAAGGGTATCCCTGGATTTGAACCTCTTCAGTTACGCTCCCTCTGGTAACCAGAACATTACCCTGTTCTACGGTTGCACCATCGTAAACCCTGTTTCAGTCTCAATTCCTAAACTCTTAAACTGCAGTGAAGAGGGTTCTGATTCAAACAGAAATAATGTCCTCTGGTCGCCCACTACAGGATTGCCATCTATTCCCGGTATCACCAGTAATATCTTCAGGTGCGGGATTGACATCTTTGTTACTGTCACTCAAGAAGCTTTTGACTCTTTAGTTAAGGCTTCCCTTAACGTTACGGAGGACCTCCTAAGAACCGCCGTGGGCGGTGGTTTTTCTGTGGATTGGAAGGCAAATAATAGCTTATGCCAGGACTGTACTGGGTCAGGGGGGCGATGCGGTTCCAATGGAGATCGCATTTCAACACAATTTATTTGCTACATTGGTAATGGCTTCCCTTCCCTTTTCGTTCGTTATTTCCCTACTCCCTCCTCTATAGAATTGTGACCCTAGCCGGCAAAAGGAAGAGCTGACGGGCTCAATCCAAGGTGGTAATAAGAATTGGAACGGGTAACCTTGTGGTTACAAGCGTGGATCTCTTATCATCTTGACTAGGATTACCCCTCTAAATCATACTATATTTGACGTGGTTTGATGGTCAAAATAAGACAAATTAAGTTTGTCAAAGGCTGCTTTGAAGTAGGAATTGGTTGGAGGCAATGCAAATAACGCCCAAACAAATTATTTCTTTATTCACAGCTCTAATTTTTATAAGCTCTAAAGTAACACACCAACTTTGACCCAACCCCCCTTCTGTAGGAAATAGGAAATAAGAAATATTAAGATTTATGAACAATGCAATATTTAAGAAAGTTTGATTCTCTGCTCTGCTCTGCACTTTTTGTTTTTTTTTTTAATTTACTTGTGCTCTATATAGGATCAGTGGCAACATGGCTTTCTTTACTCTTTTCTGGTCATATGCACTAACATGGCTTATGCTAAATGCTCGCAGGTAACAGTAGCAGCAGCAGTAGCAATAAAAGGCCAATGGGCATAGGTATTGCTTTCTTTCCAGCCACTACAAACAATTCAATTGATTTAATTTGTGTTTTACTTAATTAATTGGCTTGTCTTTTCAACAAATTAAATTCTACTTTCTTGTTACATTATTTCCAGGCCTTGGCATAGCGGGTGCAGTACTTGCTGGTGTTGGCATTGGATGGCTAATATTTAGACAGAAAAGAAGGCGGGTGGCGGCACAAGCACTAGAACATGATGTACAAGTGCTGCCTGCTGAAACCAAGAACAAGGGCCTTCCAACTCCTCCTTCTAGCAATAGCCTTTCTTCTGATCCTTCTCCTAGGTTCATGAGAAGTATCCCCTCTTATCCTTCTTCAGGATCTGTGAATTTGTTTGGTAGAGATAGCTACTATTTTGGGGCTCAGATATTCACTTATGCTGAACTTGAAGAAGCCACTAACAATTTTGATCAATCTAGAGAGCTTGGAGATGGTGGCTTTGGCACTGTGTTCTATGGTATATATGCCTGCCACTAAACCTTAATTATAGTTTATCCATTTGCAATCCATGTCCAATTAACCCTTTTCTAATTTCTGTTTAGGCAAGCTCCCCGATGGTCGTGTTGTTGCTGTGAAGCGCTTATACGAGAACAATTTCAAGCGTGTGGAGCAGTTCATGAATGAAGTGGAGATCTTAACTAAGTTGCGACACGAAAACCTTGTGGTACTGTATGGATGCACATCCAAACAAAGCAGAGATCTTTTGCTTGTTTATGAATACATACCGAATGGAACAGTGGCTGATCATCTCCATGGGAAGCGGGCAAAGTCTGGTTTATTGTCTTGGCCCATCAGGATGAAGATAGCCATTGAGACAGCTGATGCATTGGCCTTTCTCCATAAATCGGAAATCATACATCGTGATGTCAAAACTAATAACATTCTTCTGGACAACGATTTCCATGTGAAAGTTGCTGATTTTGGGCTGTCCAGGTTGTTCCCAACCGATGTCACACATGTGTCAACTGCGCCACAAGGCACGCCTGGCTATGTTGACCCCGAGTACTATCAGGTCTATCAGCTCACCGAGAGAAGTGATGTGTACAGCTTCGGGGTGGTCCTGATAGAGCTCATCTCGTCGTTACAAGCCGTGGACACCAATAGGCATCGCCACGATATCAATTTGTCGAACATGGCAATCAACAAAATCCAAAACCACGCGTTGCACGAGCTCGTCGATCCAAGTCTTGGGTTCGTGACTAATAGTTCGGCGAGGAGGATGATCACCCTCGTTGCAGAGTTGGCTTTCCGGTGTTTGCAACAAGTGAGAGATATGAGGCCTTCGATGCAAGAAGTGTTGGATACTCTAAGACGAATCGAGAACGAAGAGTTGAATGGTGAGAAGGTGGAGGTATTGGACATTGTGGTAGATGATGTTGCCCTTCTAAAGGGTAATGCCACCTCTTCTCCTGATTCTAGTGTTACTGATGATAAGGGGGCCAGCAGTTCTAGGCCAAACTCCATTGGGTGAGTCTATCTTTTTCAGATCCCTTTTGTTAATCACTCAAAGTAGAAGCTGCAATCTTGCTAGCTATAGTGTTTTGTGATGCAATCATGTTTCCTATGTTATATATAGTCGTTAAGTTGGTGAAATGAATGGACTTTTAGCTAGTTCTGACCTAAAGGGAATGTAAATAGTAAATGGAATTGGCTACTACCTACTATTACTTTTGTGTATATTTCATGTGTTAGTTTGAGCATATGTGTATGTGTGCTTGCTTATTGGTTTATTTTGTTCCAAATGACAACAATGATAAGCCTAAAGACCAACCTTAATTCATTAAAATTTGGCATTGCGTTGCACCGCAAGGCTAGCTCAAATGATAGATTACTTGACTTATAGTCGATCACCATTCTAGCGACAGAGAAGCGTGTCCTTATTCCTAAGGCCATTAGCTAATGGAGTACTACTTTCTAAGGTAGCATAGCTTGAGTACAACTCACTGATATGCGTGTCTTTATTCCTTCTTCACCCTTCCACCAGCATTACAAAATGATTGATTGTAATGATGAAATGGAGACCATGTCTGAGGTGATGGAGAATTATGCCCTAGGTGAAAACTGTAGTCTAATTTGGGCTACTAAAATTAGACAATTCACAATTCACAGTTGTGATGAAATCAATCTAATCTATTAATTAGTGTTGATTTAGGAAGATATTAATAAGGAAAACTGCTTTGAAGGGCAATTTGGTTACCACGATAGCATCAATCCGCAACAAAATAGCGTAAATATTTCTCACTATCCTTTTTAAACTCACTCAATATCTCTAAAAGCTTCATAGCTAGTGTTTTATGTTATCAATTGGACTCATCCAACTACTCCAACCACCATATATATATATATATATATATATATATATATATATATATATATATATATATAGGGAAAGGTTCAGGTGCGGGTATAACTTCTCATGTGTGATTGACGCATTTTAAGCACACATCTAAAGCACCTTAAGAACACAAAGCACGCACACCTAAAGCTTTAGGCCGACGCACCTTAAGTACACAAACCACGCATCGAAGGTTTTAAAATGGCACACCTTAAGTTTCAACAACTCACGCACCTTAAGAATGAAAACAACGCACCTTAAGCTTTGGGTTGATGTACCTTAAGTTTCAACAATTACTCATATTAAGCACACAAACCACGCACTTTAAGCACAAAAACCACGTACCTTAAGTACAAAAGCCACACACCTAAATGCAAAAATTACCAAATTGCCACCGCATTTTTTTAATTTAAATTTTGTTATTTTTTGATGTTGATTTAAGCAAGATAAATGACTCAAATTTAACAGCATAACCGCACGTGACACACCCAATTGGCCAATTGCATGGGAATTAAAGAAGAAGAAGAATAATAATTTGCAAGGTTAACACTATCACCAAGTCCAATACTAATCAACAAACAAACGTGTAGAAAAAAAAAATCTAAAAAGAAAAATCAAACGTTCACACTCTAATTAAGCAAATTTCGCTTATATTGACTGGAATTAAAAACTAAAGTCAAGATATGAAGTTTCTCAGCAGCATATAGCTAGGTAGCTACTATACTATAACACCTCAAAGTTTCATTTTTTTAGAGGCTGATACCCAACCTCCCTCTCTAATATATGGATCCCAAACACAAAATGTGTCCAGCCACCTTCTTCCTCTTCATCATCCTGTTAATCCAGACGCCTCATCTAACTTTCTGTGATGAGTTTAATAGCAGCAGTGTGTATGAGGCCTGCGCCCAGTCATTCAGTTGCGGCGATATTGATGATATAGGCTACCCTTTCTGGGGAGGGAGCCAGCCGGCCTACTGCGGCCACCCAAGTTTTGGGCTGACCTGCAGTGATGAGTCCTCCCCGGAAATTACAATCCTAGCGGTGAAATACAAAGTTTTAGGTATCAGCAGCCAGGCGGCCACTATTGTGAGATATGATCTATCAACCAATATTTGTCCTTCCATCCCTCAAAGGGCATCCTTGGACTTGAACCTCTTCAGTTACGCTCCCTCTGGTAACCAGAACATTACCCTGTTCTACGGTTGCACCATCGTAAACCCTGTTTCAGTCCCAATTCCTAAACTCTTAAACTGCAGTGAAGAGGGTTCTGATTCAAACAGAAATAATGTCCTCTGGTCGCCCACTACAGGATTGCCATCTATTCCCGGTATCACCAGTAATATCTTCAGGTGCGGGATTGACATCTTTGTTACTGTCACTCAAGAAGCTTTTGACTCTTTAGTTAAGGCTTCCCTTAACGTTACGGAGGACCTCCTCAGAACCGCCGTGGGCGGTGGTTTTTCTGTGGATTGGAAAGCAAATAATACTTTATGCGAGGATTGTACTGGGACAGGGGGGCGATGCGGTTCCAATGGCGATCCCATTTCAACACAATTTATTTGCTACATTGGTAATGGCTTCCCTTCCCTTTTCGTTCGTTATCTCCTTATTCTATCTTCAATAATAATGGTATGCTCTTCATTACAAAGTCTGATTCTCTGCTCTGCTCTTAATTCACTTGTGTTCTATAGGGAGTAGCAAAATTATATATATCTGTTTTCCTGGCTTTCTTTTTCTTCTGCTCATATGGACTAACATGGCTTATTGCTAAATGCTTCCAGCTAACAGTAGCAGCAGCAATAAAGCGCCTCTACTGGCAATAGGTATTGCTTTCTTTCCAACAATTCAACTGATATGTGTTTTATTTGATTTTGAACAAATTCTACTTTCTTGTTCCATTTCCAGGTCTTGGCATAGCAAGTTCTGTGCTTGGTGGTGTTGGAATTGGATGGCTAATATTTAGACAAAACAGAAAGTGGGTTGCAGCACAAGCACTAGAACATGAACAAGTGCTGTCTGTTCAAAACATTGAAGCACTCGTAAGGACTAATGGATTTCATTCTACCAAGCTTTATACTCATTGGGATATAAAGAAAATGACTAATTCATTCAGTGACAAGATCGGTCAAGGAGGTTTTGGTAGTGTATATAGAGGAAAGTTACCTGATGGATGCCCAGTAGCTGTGAAGCTATTGACCAACACAAAGGGTAATGGAGAAGACTTCATCAATGAAGTTGCTAGCATTAGTCGAACCTCCCACGTGAACATAGTTACTCTTGTAGGGTTCTGTTATAAGAAGAAAAGAGCTTTGGTCTATGAATTCATGCCTAATGGATCATTAGACAAGTACATAGGCAACAAGGGGTCCCAAAATAAGAGTTATTGTCAGTTGGAGTGGAAGACATTGTACCAGATTGCAATTGGCATTGGTCGAGGACTAGAATATCTACACAGAGGGTGCAACACAAGAATCATGCACTTTGACATTAAACCTAACAACATTCTTTTGGACAAGGATTTCACCCCCAAAATCTCAGATTTCGGCTTGGCAAAACTGAGCAAGAAAAAGGAGAGCGTTGTATCTCTATCCGTGTACGGTGCTAGAGGAACAATAGGATACATTGCTCCAGAAGTTGTCTTCAGAAGCATTGGAAGTGTGTCACACAAATCCGATGTTTACAGTTATGGCATGACGGTTATTGACATGGTGGGAGTAAGGGAGAACGTACACGTGGATCAGACTAGTGACTCGTATTTCCCAAATTGGATATATGAGCATCTGGAGCAAGGATTTGATTTCAGTCTTGAAGGCATCACAAATGAGGAGGATAAAGAAATGGCAATGAAGATGATATTTGTTAGTTTGTGGTGCATCCAAACCAATCCAGCAGACCGCCCTTCCATAAGAAAAGTGGTAGAGATGTTGGAGGGAAGCATTGAGTCCTTGGAGATTCCACCTAAACCATATTTCTGTCCTCCAATTAATGACTCACCTCAGCAGTCCCCTACATCATCAGTTACCACAGAAATCTGAGGCAAAACAGGTCCATTTTGTGTCAAATGAGGATTCTAAGTATGGGATCATATGATGACATAATCTCCTGTCTCCACACACTACCAAATACTCTCTTCCTGCTGTTTTCCCCAATTCCTGCCCATTTTGCAAACCATTGCTTGAAATCATAATATTATATTGTTCAAATTAGCTTTCCTTTTTGGAAATGCATTTCCTTTTTCAATGAAGTAGCTTAGCTTCTCAGAAATGTGAAATCTTTTTGCTAATATAGTGTTATTATATAAATCCATTTAACTCTATGAATACATACCGAATGGAACAGTGTCTGATCATCTCCATGGAAAGCGGGCAAAGTCTGGTTTATTGTCTTGGCCCATCAGGTTGAAGATAGCCATTGAGACAGCCGAAGCATTGGCCTTTCTCCATAAATCAGACATCATACATCGTGATGTCAAAACTAATAACATTCTTCTCGACAACGATTTCCATGTGAAAGTTGCTGATTTTGGGCTGTCCAGGTTGTTCCCAACCGATGTCACACATGTGTCAACTGCGCCACAAGGCACGCCTGGCTATGTTGACCCCGAGTACTATCAGGTCTATCAGCTCACCGAGAGGAGTGATGTGTACAGCTTCGGGGTGGTCCTGGTAGAGCTCATCTTGTCGTTACAAGCCGTGGATACCAATAGGCATCGCCACGATATCAATTTGTCGAACATGGCAATCAACAAAATCCAAAACCATGCATTACATGAGCTCGTCGATCCAAGTCTTGGGTTCGTGACTAATAGTTCGGCGAGGAGGATGATCACCCTTGTCGCGGAGTTGGCTTTCCGGTGTTTGCAACAAGTGAGAGATATGAGGCCTTCGATGCAAGAAGTGTTGGATACTCTAAGACGAATTGAGAACGAAGAGTTGAATGGTGAGAAGGTGGAGGTATTGGACATTGTGGTAGATGATGTTGCCCTTCTAAAGGGTAATGCCACCTCTTCTCCTGATTCTAGTGTTACTGATGATAAGGGGGCCAGCAGTTCTGCGCCAAACTCCATTGGGTGAGTCTATCTTTTTCAGATCCCTTTTGTTAATCACTCAAAGTAGAAGCTGCAATCATGCTAGCTATACAGTGTTTTGTGATGCGATCATGTTTCCTATGTTATATATAGTCGTTAAGTTGGTGAAATGAATGGACTTTTTAGCTAGTTCTGACCTAAAGGGAATGTAAATAGTAAATGGAGTTGGATATTACCTAAGTACCTATTACTTTTGTGTATATTATTTAATGTGTTTGAGCATCTGATCTGTATGTGCAATTGGTTATTGGTTTATTTTGTTCCAAATGAGATTGTCATGGATAATCTTGACAACAATGATAAGCCTAAAGACCAAATTAAAAATTGGCATTGTGGTTGTACTGCAGGACTAGCTCAAATGATAGATTACCTGACTTATAGTCACAATTCCAGTGACAGAGAAGCGTGTCCTTATTCCAGAGGCCATTAGCTGATGCAGTACTACTTTCTAAAGTAGCATAGCTTGAGTACAACTCACTGATGCGTGTCTTTATTCCTTCTTCACCCTTCCACCAGCATTACAAAAAGATTGATTGTAATGATGAAATGGAGACCATGTCTGAGTTGATGGAGAATTATGCCCTAGGTGAAAATTGTAGTCTAATCTGGGCTACTAAAATTAGACAATTCAGAGTTGTGATGAAATCAATCTAATCTATTAGTTAGTGTTGATTTAGGAAGATATTAATAAGGAAAACTGCTTCGAAGAATAATTTGGTTACCACGATAACATCAATCCGCGACAAAATAGTGTAAATATTTTTCACTATCTTTTTTAAAACATAGTGTAAAACTTCTATGTTATCAATTCTGGACTCATCCAAGTACTCCAGCCACCATATCGACATCCTCATGGCCAACGAACAAATAGCCTATGCAATCATTGTAGTACAAGTGCCAACTATGTGGATACATACAATACTCATTGTGCATTAATATTGCTTTATTTCATCATGCATTTCTATATCGAATATAGTGTATCGATAACTCTGTAGTTGTGCATCATCCATTTCACGAAGTTTTTGGAAACACAATTTGAACACGTAGACTAGCACAGCATGCATGCACAACACTGCCACCCAAGAACAATGCGGTAATATTTTTTATAAATTTTTCTAACTTTGAAGTGTACATGTTTTGTACTTGAAGTGCACATGTTTTGACTTCAAGTGCACAAGTTTTGTTCTTCAAGTACACAAAATTATATTACAAGTATATAATTTTTTTTAGAATTGTTGGATAAATCAACTGCTCAACATTGCTTGAAAAAAGGTGAAATTACGTTCTTTATATAAATACTAGTTTTTTTACGCGCATTGCGCGATTGGGATAATGCCCAATGCATTTTTTTAAATAAGTACTTTAAAGTATATTAAGGCAGGATTATATTGAAATTGTTCATGCATAGATAATTGAAGGTTGAATTTGCGTATTTAAATAGGTAATTCTTCTCCCAACGGTTGAGTCCCCAACCCCAAGGGCCCCCACACTCTGACCCGACAGAGCATTGTAGGAAGTTGTAAATCACGGTGACGGGTCAGAGCATTGTAGGAAGTTGTAAATCACGGTGACTCAATGGTTCAGCAGACAGGGCCAAATGCTGATACACACAAGGAATCTGCTCACTTTGGACATAATTCCCGCACTGCCGCTGCCGAGGTTCAAACCTTGGTCTCTTCTCCCAAATACTACCTACTAAACCATTGAGCTAAGCCCGTGCGGGTTAAATAGGTAATTCTAAGTTTACAAATGCAAGATAATATAGTCAAGATTGATTATAATTGTCAATAAAATAATTGTATAGGTATGGTTGAAACCAAATACGGGACATAAGGGAAAACAAATAAAAATTCGGGCATAAAATATTAAATATATACTAATATTGTTTGAGGAGATTCCGACATTAGGATTTGTGGTTAAGTTCTATTAAGACTTAGCTTTAATATTAGAATTAGATTAATGGTGTAGTTATAATTCTATATTAGACTTTAATATTAGAATTAGACTAACGGTGAATTAACGGAAAAGTTAAATGGATAATTATATAATTAAGGATAAATTATAAAATCTTAAAAGAAAAAAATTAAAACCTGAACAATATGAACCATTCATTTGATTTAATAATTTGGCGGTCATTTTTTCTACCCAATGTTAATAATTAAATAAATTCGCTGGTCAAATCCGCTAGTATAATCCGCTAACGCTAACCGCTAACTGCTGATTGTCAAACAAGGACATTGCGAGGTAGTTCTCACTTCAATTTGTTGTGTGATTTGAATACTTTCTTTGTCACAAAATCTCTCAAGTAGTTAATATGGTTGGCTTTATTAATTATATATATTTTTTTAATTTTTTCATGGTATTAATAAAATACTTGGTAAATAAATATATAGCATTATTTTGTATTACTAATGAAAATATTTCTTTTAATTAATTTATTGATAAGTAATAATTTTTTTCACTGAATAAAGACATTGTAAGGATAATGTAGCGAATATAATCAATTAATAAATTTGAACATAAATAATTTTTATATTGAAGAAAAATAAAGACAATATAACTAATAAAATTATTTCTCTTATTTAATTTATTGATAATGAATAATTTTTTTTTTTGAATAAAGACATTGTGGACACATAATTCTAAATTAAAGAAATGCATATGTATTATTTTTCGTTGTAACTACTAAATTATTATTTATATAATTTAATAAGAGTGAAATAGAGTACTAATTAT